AATGTTTATTACGTAATAAACTTTATTAATTTACGTATATCCATCGTAATGACAAACACGCTTAATTAATTTTAAATGTTTTCCGCTAAGTAAAATTTATTCCCAGACACTTTTTGACTCATTGATTGAGGCGCTTGAGAGCGACCTAAGCTTCATACTAACTCTAGTAATTTATATGAACTATTAAATGATTATAGTTAATTATACATTCTCTTGAAACACAATTGTTAAAGCAAATCGAATTAAATTTTTTTCACCCTGGTAATTTATTTGAACAATTTATTAATCAATGTTTTGAAGCACAATCATTAAAGTGAATCAATTAAACTTCATACTCATCTTTGTAATTTATTTGAATGATTGAATATTAATGCGAATCAAACTAAACTTCATTCTCACCCTGGCAATTTATTTGAACGACTGAATGATTGCAGTTAATCTATTTCTCGAACCACAATTTTTAGTGAATTTCATACTCACCCTGGTACTTTATTTAACGATTAAATGATTATGGTTAATCAATATCTTGAAACACATTCATTAAAGCGAACTGAATTAAATTTATACTCACCCTGGTAATTTATTTGAATGATTGAATAATTATGGCTAATCACTGTGTTGAAACACAATCATTTAAACAAATCGAACTAAACATCGTACTCACCCTGGTAATTTTTTTAAAATGATTGAATAATTACGGGTAATCAATGTCTTGAAACATATTCGTCAAAGTAACATTATACTCACACTGGTAATTTATTTGAACAATTAAATGATTATGGTTAATCACACATTCTCTTGAAGCACAATCGTTAAAGTGAATTGAATTAAACTTTATACTCACCTTGTAATTTATTTAACAATTGAATGATTATAGTTAATAAATGTCTTGAAACACAATCATTAAAGTGAATCGAATTAAACTTTGTACTCACTCTGGTAATTTATTTGAATGATTAAATGATTATAGTTAATTTACATTCCCTCGTTATTATTAAAATAAAAGAATTAAAAATTATTTATAATTACAATTTTTTCAATAAGAATCGTTATGCTGATCAAAAATTCACATTTTTGGATGCTGCTAATCAAAAATGGTTAAGTGCAAACCCAAAATTCAAAGTAGCCATAACGTAATAATAATATAACTTTGTTGTCATTACTGCATTATTAACATGTCATTATGATGAAGGTATGTAAAAATAATGTTTTTATTATTAGATAAATGTAAACAGAAATGTCGCAATAATTACAATGATTATGGAAATGTTGTAAATTAAAAATCACGTGTTGGCTATACATATATCTAGACGATCCCAAAATTGACAATTATGCGGATGATCAAGAGTGTCGCAATAGTATATTTGTCATTGATAAATTCATCTGGAATAATATTACGTATTTATTATGTAGCGATAAATACCATACCAGAAACGCAAACTTTTTAATAATTTTAAAAACAACCAATCAAAATTGTTAAAATGTACAAACTCTGAATTAGGGGAGATATGAAGATCTCAATTTTTGATTGGTTGCACGTGTGATGATCTACATGATCGGCATTTCCTGGCACAGAATCCCGACGTGCCTGTAAGAATAGTCTAATATATGACAAAAAAAATTTTGCTTGCTCCTTAAGTTATTCTATCTCGGTGAGATTCTAAATTATCCATTATTTCTGGAAAGTTAAAAGAATTTGTTAATCAATGTATGCACTTCTTATAGCTTAAATTGATCATGATACGTAACAAAAACTATTATTGAATTACTGCAATTTAGTAAATACTGTAATTTTTGTAAATATTGTAATTTTTGTATCAATGATAGGTTTTTCGTAATTAAAATTATTTTTGTATTTAATATAATTATGTTTGCAACGCTAGTCGAAATGTTTGTCGAAATTACTTTTTTTAAAAAATAATTTAGACACCCATGTATACGTGTAGCCAATCATTTGTCAAATTACCATATTCGACAATTTTTGCCCAATAATGGTGTTATCCGGCAATTTTTGATCATGATTGGTAGGGAGTCGCTCGCTGAGTTTTAATTTTAAATACTGGAATAAACATAATTGCTAAGTAGCATATGAAAAAATAACAAAAAGAAATTTTTCATGATCATATGAGTTTGCTGAATAATACTATTTTAATTATTCGTTAAAAAACTCTTCTTCTCGGATTTAGCACAACGGGGCTTCGATATTTGACTTCAATCGTTAAGATTCTTAACGATTATCACATGATCACGTGGTTACAAAAATGGAATCAGGGATCAGGCTATTAATCAATACCCTTTATTTCTCTTTCTTACTCAAGATCGAAAAATGGGTCAAGATCACGAGGACAAAGGACTTTAAGATACAAATTTACGTAAAAAAATTTAAATAATGATAACTCCCGATAGTAAATTATACTACGTTGAGTTTTACTAACATAAATATAAAAATAGAAGAAAAATAATAGTGATAATAATTATATTTATACGAAAAAAGAAAAAAAAGAAAATTCTTGGAGGGACGGGTGCTCTGGTACACTCATAAGATGCAAACATAAACGCATATTTCAATATCTTCGCTACGCTTATGAGTGAAAGGGTATGCCCCTAGTCCAGAATGTTCTGCTTACTATTTTCCTTGTGCCCCATTTTTAACATAGGTTTATACTTATCAGGAGTTTGGATTCCTTTACCAACATAATTTTCAAGATTTGAATAAAAATAATATGGAAATGGTATTTCCTTTGGCGCGGAAACAGCATCTAACCTTGCCATTTGTTCAGGTGTTAATCTATTCATTAATTAAATTTAAATTATAAGTGAAGGTTTAACTTGATGCAAAAATAATGAAAATTTATTAAAAATATACTTGAATTCAAGAGCTTTAAGGTTTTCAACTAACTGAGCTTTTGTTTTAGCACCGATAAGAGGAGAAGTAATACCAGGTTTTTGTGCGATCCAATTCAAAGCGACCTTTAATTTTAAAAGAGAACGAATTACAAAAATGTAAGCGATTATAACCAATTTAAGTAATTGAATTACCTGAACAGGGCTTCTCTTGGTTTCGACAGCAATAGCTATAACTTCATCAAGGATTTCCCAATTTTGTTCATTTTCTGCTGCACTAATAACTAAATTATTGCGCAGATTGCTCAGATCATCACCCTTTTTTGCATTAGCTAATGATTCTCTAGTGTGTTTCCCAGTCAAGAATCTAGGCAAAATAATAAGATAAGATTATAAATCGTACGGGCAAACTCATGCATATTCACGCAAAGCATCAAAGAAACAGTTTTAAAATGTTTACCCTTCAGCAACACATCCCCAGGGAATAATTCCAACCTTTATGGTAAAAAATTAACACGTTAGTTGTGATACTGTCACCAGATTTTGATTACTATATTCAAATTCAACGATCATATTCTTTAAGAGTTAATAATAATAAACATTAAAACATATTTACGCACATCAAATTCAGCGCAAGCAGATTGTAAATCGTATTCCAATGATCGTTCTAATAAATTATATCGAGTTTGCAATCCAATAAATCGACTTAAATAAATTAACAATATTGTTACTTTTTATCACTAAAGCTCGTAAGATATACATTATTATATGCATGGTATTACCTCCAACCACGTAAATCAGCCATCATATTTGCAGAGCTAATCACCCATGATGGTGTATTACTAATTGCAATATAGAGTACCTGTAGGAATTTGTATTAAATATTAATAATCATTATATAATTCAATACTAAGCATTAGAAATCAAATAACCTACTTTGCCACTTCTAACAACATCATCTAAAGAACGCATTACTTCTTCAATAGGTGTACGAAATTCCCAAGAATGAACATACATGAGGTCAATATATCCTGTGCCCAATCGTTTAAGACTTTCGTCAAGATTTTCGACAAGAGATCTGCGATGATTTCCACCTTCAAATAAAATCTTTTTCAGAACTTATATAAACATATATAATTACATGAAATTATTAATAAAATTACCAGCATTGGAATTAAATTTGGCATTTGGAATTAAATTGGTAAGATTAACTTGATAAAATTATAATAAATGGTAAATATATATCACAAATGGGAAAGCTTTACAATGAAGCAAATAACCAGATTAACATACAAGTATATTTGGTGGAGATTACAACTTGAGAGCGTTTATCAGCGATATATCCACCAAGAAAACGTTCGCTCTTTTCGTTATTTTTTAACAAAAACAATCAGTAAATACAGTATCATATACTGGAGAATATATGCGACAATACAGTAATATTAAAATCATATCATCATTACCTCACCAAAATTGTATATGTTGGCACCATCTAAAATAGTAAACATCTTGTGAGTTTAATATCATTATAGGGTATATTAATCAGTCCCGTAATAATTGTAAACCGACTTTGAAAAGATTTGTAAAATATAGGCTTTTTACTGATCTTTAGTAAATAAGAAATTGTAAAAATGATATCTTTCTTCAATTATATAATTTAATAAATTTCAATATTTCTTGAATTGATTTTTGATACTTAGATAGGACTGAACAATGTGGATAAAATTTTGTCGGTTTATTTCAAACCCCAATGCAAAGACCAACGATGTTATTAATTTTTTTTATACCATTTTTTTTATTATTCAAAAACCGGTTAAAAATTAAAAAGATCAAACTCGCGAAGTCGGCCAACAATTTTTGCTAGACTAAATACCTATTTACTGTATAAAACATATATACAAAACGTACCGAAGAAATTTCCGCCTTTTTCATAATAATGGTCAAAAACTTTCTTAGACTCCTCATAATTCGAACCTATTCCCTATTAAATGTAAATAAAATAAACAAAATATTTGCAAGTGCACATGATTTTCACATCAATAGAGCACACATGCAAAAGAAAAGTCATACAAATTTTTCGCCAAAAGTCTTAAATTGAATCGTTAAAAAAATTTGAGTTAAAAAAAAAAAAAACTATAATAATGATGATATTAGAAATTAAGTTATACCAGTGTGCCAAGGCATAGAGGAGAAATTCTCAAGCCACTACGTCCTAGAAGAACATAATCGTCAAGAGCACCGATGGTTTCTTTGATATCTGTTGAGTCTTGAGCCATTTCAGATATTTTCTTTTCTCCGGAATACGATAAAGTTTATAAAAACGTTGTACATACATATATACGTATGAGTGGCTGAATATTTTAGGTTACAGCGATCAGGTGATTTTTGAACGTTCTGAACTTCATAATGCAACCAGAATGTAAAAACAACATACAAAACTTTATGCAATTAGACATAGTATTGTATTATTAATGGAATATTATTGATCATTGATTGGGTTACAATCATCTGATCGCGAATTTTTTCTGTCATCACTATGTTACCTGAATTTTTGCAGTTTTCCTTTTATTACATTGTGAAACATGAACAGCTTGGGATATGACTTAGAGTCCTACTCCGGCCTTTTGGACACGACAATATATTTTATGATAAAACTCATTTTGATTTTCGGGGGAGTTTGAGCACTTCTATGCAAAGGCCACAATGTTGATGATGTCGGTCCAATTGGTCCAACGGGGTAGTTTCAAGAACACTGAACTCAGTGATATTTCCGTGATCATCACATCACATGATTAAGCACTCGGCCTAAGGGTTAGTGTTAGGGTTAAGTGATAATTTAGTTTAGGCCAATTTGTTAGTGCTAGTATACAAATGACGTCATTGCGTGATTTCATAGTACCCTAGCCACGGCGAAAAAAATTCTCAGATCACGTGCCGTAGATCAATTTTTATGGATTTCTATTGGACACCATATCGATAACCCTA